GCCGTGAAATTCATCTGAGATAGAGCTAGATGGCAGTTTTCCATCTTCAGTGACAATTGCGACAAAGCCTCTCAGTCGTCCCTAAGGGGCCTTAGACCAGTAAGCAAAGCATCGATCAAGGAGCGAGCAATGACATGATTTTGACCAAAAAGATTTTGAAGAATGCATCGAGCCCTGTTATAAGCCAACTCTGGTGGAAGTATCGTGCATTCACAAATTGCCTCCTTAGCACGCCCTCTGCATTAATACACAAGGTACAGCAACCGCTGGCCGCTATCACCTGCGCGACCCTCAACGAAGTATTCAAACTGTTTGATGAACCTCCAATAAGTCATCGGATTACCATCAAAAATTCTAACTCGAATCTCGGCAGATCTAGTGGCGGTTGACAAGCTCCCAAAACGGGTGGTAATACGGCATAGGGGTAACTGGAGGTGGCACTGCTTCTTGACAATCCTTCAAAAAACTGACTCATACGTTCCTTTCTGATTTCAGGCACATGACTTGAGGTGGCGAGATGTTCATGGCTGTTCTCGCCCACTTCTATTTCTAACCGTAACTTAGCAATCTCCAGCTCACTTTCGGCTTGCTTTCTCTTAAGCTCCGCCAGCCTAACAGCAGAACGTGCACTTACCGAACTTCGAGCCTGACTACCCTTACAGGTATTTTGCGATCCAGAACAAGAAACATTATCGTCAACAACAGGCAAATATTCAACTTGCCGGGAGCCAATCGTGTTCTGTTCAAGAATCATAGACGTCTTCTTTCGTGTTTCCATTGCAAGTCCAGAAGAGTGACGTCTTCAAACAAAGGATTGTTGAACACTGTAAGCTTCAAAAATCGCTTGATTGAAGACGTCACTCTTTTGGACTTGCAATGGAAACACGAAAGAAGACGTCTATGATTCTTGAACGGAACACGATTGGATCCCGGCAAGTTGAACAATGTCAGTTTCAAAAATCGCTTAGGATAGTTGGACAACGCGTAGGGCACCGATTCGCGGTCTCCGACAGGGGATCAATGAGCGACAAGGATCTGAGATGGTGTGTAGGCACCGGAGAAACAAAAAGCCACAGTCGATGCTTAACTACGGTATTCTATTATACAAAGAGTAAAAGATCAAAGTGACAACATACTTCAACAATGTCCTCAAACAAATACAAGTACAAGCAGTTGGCCGTTACAAGAACAGGACATCAATACGGTCGTCCAATCAGCAAAATGACCCAGCGCGGTTACCTGACATGCGAGACATGCACCAGTGAGCCAATCAAGAAACCAACAGCCACTAGTCCAATCACATCAAGCAGGTTCAATGGGGGACACATTATGAAGACCTGAGGTTAGGGGCACATGTCAGCCGGATGGGTGGCGTGTCCACCCCACAAAATCTCCGGTCTACCCTGACCTCAATAGTAACACGCAAATAGAACAAGTGCGAAGCAGTGATCGATAAAGTGGAGCATGCATCAAAGAAAGTAGCGAGACAGGTAGTGTCACCGATGTAAGGTGGGCATGGAAAACAAACGACTAAGGGTCATGCAGGGCGGTATACGTGGAACGTTCAAACAGAGTGAATTCAAGGGTAATTAGGGCCATAACGTGGGTCCAGGCGAAGGGTGATGTCTGTTGACAAATTGGACGTTACAATATTGTTGGACGCATATGTGCGTGCAATCATTGAGCATAGTGGCATTGCAGAGAATGCATTACAGTTTCAACAACTGACCAAGCATATAACCAACTTTGCGACTCCTTTCAAACTGAATGTGAAGGATGAGGCAGTACGGCGTGCCCACACAGCTAATAGTGTACAAATTCGCGGTGTAACAACGCTGAGCCAGCTTACGTACGGGCCGCTGAAAAGAAGCATAGGTTGGGATGCGACGAATCCTAACGTCAAAACAGGATTTGGTCAACGAGAGCCCAGCGCATCTAGCAAAAACAATGAACGGCTTATAACCTCCTAGACAGCCCCGTGCTTAACTACGAAGGCTCCTAATGCCAAACGGGTTTGCGGAGGGAACACACCTAGACAGTCACCTACGATTGTCATGTCGCCTACATATGCCTTAACTACATCAAGATCCGTAGACAAGCCGTCGCAGCAGCCTGGTTGGGACATCGTGGAGTGCAGCGTACTTGCAGTTAGTGTTCCGGATGGCATATCAACGGGCGAGTTTAAGAACACAATAGTTATAGTTAACGGTATTGCGGAAAACTCGGTAAACGTTGAAAGGATAGCCAAAATGGATCAGCAAATTCCCAGCCCCACTCAAACGGAGAACAGAAGATAGTACAACATTGAGTATTATAATATTAAACTGTGAACTACTACGCAAGGATACTGAGTTAAGGCAATTGTATTTCGGCCCACAAAGAAGGACTCTACCGAGTCATACACCATCTGCTTTTGAGACGGCACCGCGTACCATTACCGCAACCAATTCACCTACGGTGAGCACTACACTTGGCAGTCTACACAGCTCCGCTAAACTTCATGCGCATCCAGTTTGCTGTGCACCCGTTACATCCCTCAGACTTTTGCCACCGGTCTAGATACATAGGCCAAATAGTCCACTGCTTCCTACTCCGCAACCTGCGCCTTTTTCAGCCTTGGTGGGATTAAGCCGTGTCCGTTTCATCCCGGCGTCAAATACCTCGTCTCCCAACTACCCACTACAAGGTCTTCCCGTTCACTTCCTAAAACTAGTGCAGATAGCGAAGTAGCTAGCAACCGCTTCATTTCGTCCTCCGTATGGCTAATAGACCCCAAGTGTTCCTCCTCACTCCTACTTATAAATGCTAGGTCCCTAAACAATAAAATGCATATCCTGCGTCCTCTGTCTGTCCTCGCCGACCCTGGTGCCATATTAGTCACGGAACTATGGTTTTCCCTTCATGCTTCAGTGGAGGATTACTCACTCCCTGACTATCAGCAGTTTATGCAAGCTCGTTTGCATAAACCTGGGGGCGGTTGCGCCGTATATGTTAGAAAGGCTTACCAAGCAGCTGAGGCGCTGGGTGCAGTATGGATAACAGTTGCTATCCTGGAATCGAGGGTATTATTTGGGTGGGTTTTTAGACCATCCGATACGTTAACTAAGGAGGACAATGCAAGTATGGTTCCGTTTTCGCAGGCATCAAGTTTTTCGTGCGATGGCATACTGGTTGCAGGAGATTTCAACTTGCCTGAGTTAAACAGGTTCCCACCTGCTGCAGCAACGCAGTATGAAAGCCTACTAGCATGTATCAATGTAGGCAGCTGGACACAACGTGCATCTGTTCCATTCAGGGCGAAAAGTATTCTTGATCCAAAATTTACACTCGGCATCCCATCACCACGAGTGTCAGTCGGCCGGGAGTTTCCGGTTGGTGCTCACAGTTTGGTGCATTACACGGTTTACTTAAAACAACATAATGCCTACCCAGCAGAAAGAGACGCAGTCGTGATCTACCGCCCAATGCACTTCGTTAACTAGACAACATTTGCTGTACCCCTCTGATCAAGAAATTGGGATGAATTCTTTGCCTGATTCTGTAGATCGCTCGGCTAAGCTGTTTTATGAGAAAATACTTCACTTTCTCGACTCGCTAGCTCCCATGCCACATTTACTACGGCAATCATCTAAAAGTGTGACCCAAACCAGCGTGCATCACAGAATGCCTTAGCTTAGACCATCATATAATAAAACCTACAAGTTTGCCCACATCATGAGGGCATTTGAGATCGCACATTGGCTTTCTGCCAGATCTAAGCAGCAGCAAACCAATAAAGAAATAGCCGCACTAAATGGTGCGCACAAAGCTAAGAGTCTCAGCTGGCTACTGCGCTCTCGGACCCCTAAATATGGATGACAGATCTCTACCCTAAAGATTAGGCCCAACAACACTACCAGCGACGCACGAATTTTATGTGAAACCTTCAGCTCACATTTTAAAGGATCGCAGTGTGTAGAAATAGGTTCAACATTTCAGGCCCTAAAAGTGCCCGGTAGCCAGTCCTTGTCCTCTGTGTAGTTTGACATTTATAGTGTCCGTTCTGCGATTGCAACTATCAAGTCATCATCGAACCCTGGTCCAGACGGAATACCGCCAGGTCTACTTAAGAATGGTGGTGAACGTATCCCTATTCGTCTTTTGCAACTCTTTACTTTATCAATGCAGAAAGGTTAATGCCCG